TACAAATTGAATAAAGCACCAAAAATATTGAAGGTAACATACGAGATATCAAATCATTGTTTTGACCAGGAAATACATACAATGAATAAATGTTGTAAAATTGCAGCATATAGCCTAAAATATATGGCAAAAGTTATGCACGCTTTATGATTTTTGTTTTATTAAACCTAAACTGAACCTAGCCATCGTGATTCATCTCCCTCCCTCTCTTCCCTGTCGAGAAATCTGAACTTGTGGGTTTGGCTTGTGTGAATGGATGTAATTCAGTCGCGAGCGTCAGAGACGGTTGAGCTCCACAGCCCACCTCACCTGAACCTCAACCTTTCCTTCAGGAAAACATATTGATTGAACAAGGAAACAGAAGAACATGTACTTGTTTATTATATGTCAATTTATAAATATAGCTACATAACATTTCTAAAGATCTCTGTTTAACTGATGGTGATGTATCCTGAGGCGCACTACGTAGTATTGGAGACGGCGAGGTGAAAACGCAGCCTGGGAATCGGTAAGTCATTCTAATATATTTAATTTGAGGTCCAAACCCGCTTTTCCATCATTCCTTTGAAACGGGCTTTAATAATACGCCTCTCAGTTTGTTCGTTTAGTTGATGCGCCTTGTGCGCTCCTTCACGGACCATTGCGCCGTCAGTGTCCGTGAACTAGGAAGTGTGCCATGAAGTTTCCACGAACTCCAGTGTGTGTTTATGTCTCCTAGTGATAATGGTTTCGCCGTGTACCTATTCGTCTCTCAGAAAAAGACGATGGAGTGTGCTAGAGCGCAGGCAAGCCGTGCGTAATGAGCTCTTAACGCGCAGAGTACATTATACCACAATGAAAGTGACCCGACAAGTTACCTCAGAAGTCGATACGCCTTCTTTCGCTGGTGGAAATAAAACAATATGGTCTCGCCAAGATGTTCTCTCTCTGAAAAGATATAAAATATTTAGACTCTGGAATGGAGAGCCGTATTATCCGGTCGTCACTTGTAAGATATGCATGTGAATTTGAAATAGACTAATATTGAATGTATTTGTATTAATATATGGTGAGGTTAGAAATTAGAAATGTACTTATAATTATTTAAGGAAATATTTCCAGAAAAAAACGACTATTTCTTTATGTCCGATAATAAACAGTATAATCAGTTTCATGATATACAGTCCAAACTGTTCCCTCTTTGTAATGCATGTCCATTGCATACTTTTATGAATTTTGTTGATGTCATACAATGTTATCTATCTATCTATCTATCTATCTATCTATCTATCGATCTATCTATCTATCTATCTATCGATCTATCTATCTATCTATCTATCGATCTATCTATCTATCTATCTATCGATCTATCTATCTATCTATCTATCGATCTATCTATCTATCTATCTATCGATCTATCTATCTATCTATCTATCGATCTATCTATCTATCTATCTATCGATCTATCTATCTATCTATCTATCGATCTATCTATCTATCTATCTATCGATCTATCTATCTATCTATCTATCGATCTATCTATCTATCTATCTATCGATCTATCTATCTATCTATCTATCGATCTATCTATCTATCTATCTATCGATCTATCTATCTATCTATCTATCGATCTATCTATCTATCTATCTATCTATATGCATGCATGCATATATATATATATATATATATATATATATGCATGCATGCATATAGATAGATAGATAGATAGATGATTTGATATCTCGTATGTTAACTTCAATATTTTTGAAGTTATTATATTTTGATATTATATTTATTATTATTTATTTATATATAAAACTTCCTGTATGATTTTTGGTCTCGTATTTATATCACATGATAAGCGATATCATACGAGCAGCGAGAGCAATCTCACACGAGTGCTGTTTGTCCCGAATATAACGAGTGCAAATGTGATTTTATACAGCGGTTGAGTAAATAAGAAGTTAATATTGCGTTATATTTTAAACTAAATATAATTAATTAGTAATTAATATATATATATATATATATATATATATCTATCTATCTATCTATCTATCAGATTTATAATGTTAAATCAAACCTGTGTTTTCAGGTTGTTAAACCTAAGGGCAGCTTGGTCTTTCTCTAAAATCTGACATGGCCATGTGATAAATGGATTCCCTCAGCTTAATCAATGGCTCCTCTGGGAGCAAAGAGCTGGCCATCGGGGAGGATTCATCTGATGTGACTCTGAATCATCCGCTGCTAGAGCTGGGAGACAGTACCAAGCTTCTTGGGGTGCAGGTGGTCCTGATCTTGGCATACTCTACCATCATCCTTTTGGGCGTTGTGGGGAACTCCCTGGTGATTTATGTGGTTTACAAATTTAAGACACTCCGTACCGTCACCAACTTCTTCATTGCAAACCTAGCCGTTGCTGACCTGCTCGTCAACACGTTGTGTCTCCCGTTCACGCTGGCTTACACTCTCCTCAAGGAATGGAAGTTTGGACAAGTGCTTTGTTTCACTCTGCCATACGCTCAAGGTCTCGCCGTCCACGTCTCTACTATTACATTAAACGTAATTGCATTGGATCGGCATAGATGCATTGTTTATCACCTAGACACTCGAATGTCAAAGGACACCTGCTTTCTGGTCATTGCCATCACCTGGGTGGTAAGTGCCATTCTGGCAAGCCCACTGGCCATATTTAGGGAGTATGGAATCGTAGATCTTTCTCCAGATAACTCCATTGAGGTTTGTGGAGAGAAGTGGCCTGACAGTAGTACAGACAGCACTCTATACTCGTGAGTACCAGACATGCATATTTTAATGAACTGCATTATTACAGTTTGCTCTGGCCCTCAAGGAGCCACAAATGTATGCTGTGCTCTTCCAATTGCACCGAAAACACAAAGATCTGTATATTTTAAAGATAAATATACAAATTTATGAAGATTAAATGTTGATATTTATGTAAACATATATCATCTAGATTTTGACAAACTTCTGAAACATTTTCAAAAAGGTTGATTACTGTCAATTATTTAAATTTAGATTCAAGATTATTATTATAATCTATTTTTATCTTTGAAATCGTATTTGTTCTGTAACAGATAATTTACAGCTAAAATGAGTCATAGCTTGTTTAATTTTGGAGCAAGATTACATGTTTTATGAAAGCTTCTTTAACAATGACATAATGACACTCTTCAGCTGCACTTATGCCGATGATGACTGTTTTCTTTCTTCAGAATCTCCACGCTGCTGCTGCAATATGTGTTGCCTCTGGCAGTCATCTCTTTTGCCTACATTCGTATCTGGAGTAAACTCCGCAATCACGTCAGCCCAGTTGGTCGCAACGACAGGCATCATCGTCGCCGCAAGACCACCAAGATGTTGGTTACCATGGTGTGTACAGTTCCCAGCTTTCCTGAGCAAATATTATATCATAGTGTTCCTGTATCTTCATATTATTATAGGCATTCACATGTAGACAGAAAAAAGCCTGATAATGAAAACGATGACTAACATCTAGTGGCTGACCAAAATTGGTTTTTATAATGGCTCTCAATGCCAGTAAAAACTGTAATATTGTGAAATGTTATTATAATTTAAAATAACCGTTTTCTATTTGAATGTATTTTAGAATGTAATTTATTCCTGTGATGCAAAGCTGAATTTTCAGCAGCCATGACTCCTTCAGAAATCATTAGAATATGCTGATTTGGTGCTCAAGAAACATTTCTTACTATTATCAGTGTTGAAAACAATTGTGCTGCTTAATATTATAACATTTGTTCAAAAAGTCAAAAGAGTATTTATTGAAATTATTGAATTCAAAAGTCTTTACTGTCACTTTGGATCAATTTAATGCATCATTTACATAATAAAAGTGTTAAAGGGGTCATATGATGCGATTTTAATTTTTCCTTTCTCTTTGGAGTGTTACATATTGGTGCATAAAGAAGATCTGTAAAGTTGCAAAGACTAAAGTCTCAAATCCAAAGAGATATTCTTTATAAAAGTTAAGAGTCAACCACGCCTACCTAAAATGGCTCATATACCATCACCAATTTCTTCATGGCACACCTTGCCATGTCCGATCTGCTTGTCAACACGGTGTCTCCCATCTATGCTGGCTTACACTAGCAAGTGCTTTGTTTCACTCTCAAGGTCTTGATGTCATGTCCCTGAGTTAAATTAAAATTGTTCTGGTGGCAACTGCGCAACAATTTGACCTAGCTAAATTCTGTTGTGAACTGCAATAAAAGAGCACAGACAAGTGGGGCTCTTCATGTTTGGAGGATCTTATCATCTTCGTCAATGCATCTTCAACAAGAGAATAACAACTGAATATACTTATACTTGAAGCAGGAACATTTGCACCAATATTTCTGGATCTTGCTGTGCGGATGCCTCTCCATTTGAAGGAAAGATGACTATACGCAGTTTTGCTCATCATAGAAGAAGGTTCCTCACCATGAAACAGTTTCAGATGTTACCATATGACAAATTTGTGCTTTCTAATCTTTAAGCAGCCACCATCTCGTGTGAACTTACAGGTGGGTTGTGCACTCAAATGGCTCTAGAAAGTGTTAACAGCAAATTGCTTCTCCTTTCATCTGAAAGTAATTTGCACAGAGGAACAGTGTGGTGGCACTCCTACAGACTAACAACAGCACGAAGACAGGGAGGTGTTTCTACCCCTGCAGTATGAATGTTTCAACACAAAGATCTGTATTATCTCCTCCATTAAACCTTGCGGGATGTTCTGTCAGTCCAACACTTTGAAAATATTATGAATGTATTTCATCTAAAATACATAACAAAGAATTATCGTTGACAGGATTTGATGGATCAAAGTGAATTGTTCACTTGCTGGTTCACTTTTTAGAAACTTAACCCTAGTAATGGGTTGGCATGTGCAAATATGACAACATAGATGTGTACGTGAAAAAAAAAAATAGTAATGGAAATGTGCTTTCTACTGTATATTGTTGTCTTCTGTAAAGCTGTCACATTTGCAATCACCATGCCATATGAATGTAATTTCAAGAAAAATCTATATTCTTCTATGTAAGAAAAATACCTGACACATATGATGTATATATATAACAGTAATTCATCTGCCTTTTAAAATGTCACTTGTAGAATTACAGCCAACACATTAGAGGTGTATGATGCCATATCAACATGAAAACATCATCTTATTCCCCAATGTTCTCCAATTGAAGGAAAATCGAACACAAAGCTGCTTTAAAAAGCGATGACTCACACAATTGATGGGTTTGCTGATGTATTTCTATTGACGTGGAAGGTATATGCCTGTCCACTGTAGAACTAAATGACTCCTTTTAACCTAAATTGTCTGCAGGAAATGAGAATGCCACATTTAATTAGTACTATGGGCTTCTGTGTGGATCCTGCTTGAATTTAGGATGAGAATTGAGAATGTTTTGTGAAATATAACTGCATTCAACTGCGATATTGTTGTTTTTGTTAAAGGAATATTCTGGATTCAATACATGTTCTCTCTTGCAATAGAGAATCATTTTGACCAGTTCTTCAGCGTATAAAAACAAACAATAATACATTAATGATGAAAGTCTAAAAGGCATTACATGGCATAAATGCTGAAAAGCACTGTGTATATTCTTATGAAAATTGTGTAAAAGCCATTAACATGATATGTACCAGAAAGGGACTGTTTATATGAAGAGTCATTCATAAGAATTACATCTGTAATGCATAACCAGAAATTCATCCACCGAGAAAAATAATTCCATTGCTAGGGCACAAATTTTTGCACTAAAGTGCTTAACAACATTAAACTCGCATTTCCATGTTTACACCCCTTTCATATTGCATTAAAGTGCATTTGTTTATTGCAACAAGCAATTTGTCCACTCCACAGAAACAGAATGCAAGATCGCAGCTAGAAGGTATCTGAGCAAGATTTTTGACTAATAAAAGTTCACGGTGGGCAGGGCTGACAGCATGACACCAGCATGACTGTATTATTTATTTCGAAATGATTGTCTGTGGCAACAGCCTGCAGATACTGAAACTTGTTTTGAACGCAGAACTTTTCTTAACAAGGGAAAGATAAATGTCAGAATGCTAAATAGTCAAGTGGTGCCTAATTATTTAGTTGACTTTTTATTTTATTTTCCACATGTAGCACAAACACACAGACAACAAAATCAACAGTCCAGTTTTTCTTCAGGGGTCTCTGTTCACGCATCAAAGTATGTTTGTCTATGGGAGGGTGTTACAAAAACAGCCACTAGTGTTGATCAGCCAGCCCTCCTTATAGGTTTTAATCATTATATTTCCATAAGCATGCATGCTTTTACCCAGTACATTTTGAGAAAAGACTAAAAACAGACTTTCACTCAGCAAACCATTTACAATGTAACATACAGTACTTATGAACATGTATATTTGTGGATCTGTTTTTGTGAAATGTTATACTTGTTTGTATTAACAGATGTGTTTACATTTAAAAACATTATGTACCAAAACTGTGGTTGATACCAACCAAATTGTGCTGTGATGCATTAGAATTATTTTTTTATGTTGTGTAATTCGCAATTTATTTATATATATTTGCGATGTAGCAGATGAAAGATGAAGATAATGGCTCAAATGTCCTTTGTAAATAAACTTATATGAATTGAATCTCACAATAAAATTGCCGTTTAACTAATGCTGATTGTCCTTATCTCAGGATTTTGTTTTCACGTGTGCTTTAGATGACAGTTCATGCCATTCTAATATACACAGACATCAAGCAATCCCTCTCTAAGCCCCTCTTCCGGCGATTTGCATGAAACGACGGCCTTGCAAAAATGAAATGATTTGATTCAGTGAAACGATAAATCCTAGCTGTCACTCTGAGGCGCATAGGTATGTTGACACACACCTACCCACTTCTTGCTGTCTCTATCCTTATTTGCTTTTGCACTTGTATTTCATCTGGTTATTGTACCTTGACCGACCAAAAGACCAAAGCAAAAATATATATTCAAATAAACTATGGGCCATCCATCATATCTGTTTATGTCACACACAATATGAGGAAGACAGGCCTTTTTCTTTCACACTCATGGTGAAATCCAAAATTCAGTCATACTCCCTCCCTTTTGGATCCGAGTTCACAGTATGATTATTCCTCAACGTGAGCATCTCAGTATGTTAGCTGCAGAAGTTTACTACTGTAACTAGACAATGACTGGATGAGCAGGAGATGTTCCAGCTGTTTTAAATTTAAGTATTTGTCCCTTCTGATTTATCACTTGAACTTTACTCACACAGAACGTCACTTGTTTCTGTCCCCTGTATTTCAACGCTTTGCAAGGATTCAAACAATGTGAGCCACTCTCCAAATGCAGTTTAGTCAGAGACAAGCAGCAATGCCTGGAAATAAATTAAAGGGATAGTTCACCCAAAAATGAAAATATGCTGTTAATTTACTCACCCTCAGGCCATCCAAGATATAGGTGACTATATCTAAAGAAGATTTTCAGCTGAATAAATAAATGTTTCTATATTCGCGATGTATTGAATGCTAAACGAATATTTACTATGTAAACCATGCTTTTGTACTTAATGCGCTTTCCGCAAAAAAAAATAAAAAATCACTCTTCACATGAACAAACATGTGCTTGGCCCGAGCTCAGGCTGAACGACACAGCATATTTTACTCAGTCTTTTTTCTTTTGTTTTGTTAATATGTTAATTATTCAAGTCAATATATATTTCGCATATTAATTCCTTTTATATGTAGACTATGGTTTAATAAAAACAGATTGTTATTTTTAGTTAAACTTAATTTGTTGCTCGTCCGTTGCATTCTTTCTCTTCTCCGACCCCGCAGTATGCCCATCTCACAAATGTAGAATCCGTCTCACTCATCTTAACCATCGAATTACCAGTGTTGGGGAAAGTTACTTTTAAAAGTAATGCATTACAATATTGCGTTACTCCCTAAAAAAGTAACTAATTACGGTACTTAGTTACTTTTTATGGAAAGTAATGCGTTACGTTACTTTTGCGTTACTTTTTATATCTCGGCAGGGCTTGCTTGTTTGGTTTTAATATAAAAAGTTCTATTTTTGTCAAATGTAAAAGCCCTTTCACACCGAAATCCTCAGGCTGAAGGAAATGTAAGTTCACGTCTGTACGGTAGAATTCAGAAGGAGAAAGTTCATCACTCTTCAGCAATTAAATAAAGAAGAAATGTTATTTATCGTGAGTAATTTTTGCTTATTAGTATGGTTGAATTGGATCATCGAAGGTCAGCAGCAAAGACACTGGTTAATAAAATGGGATTAAAAACATAAAGGATATTTGTATTATTTAACATATTTAATTATTGCAGGTTTGCATCATATTCTGAGTTGTTTTTATTAATTTTATTATTTTTGAGGAAAACAATGTTTTTTTTGTGAGTGAGATGAATTAATGCATGTTCACATCTATTCTAGAACTAAAGTAACATCTTACTCCCGATTTCTCTAAACATGGCGACAGGAGAGCTTTCAATCAATAAATGGGGGGGGGAGTAACTGGCGTTACTTATTTGAAAAGGTAACTCGGATATCATCTTGTAAATTAAAAAGTAATGCGTTACTTCACTAGTTACTTGAAAAAAAGTAATCTGATTACGTAACTTGCGTTACTTGTAATGTGTTACCCCCAACACTGCGAATTACAGCAACAGGAAATAGACAAAGTATTTTACCCGCAGAATTTATTGTCTGGTGCTGTTTTGCGGTGTTGGTAAATAAATCCACCCCTTAATTTTGAGTTAAAACATGTTGTTGAGATTGTAACGAGTAATAATATTACCCACATTTTATTAGTAATGCGTTATATTACTGCGTTACAGCAAAAAGTAATATACTACTGTAATATCGTTACTTTTGTAAAGCGTTACTCCCAACACAATGAAAACTCACTTCTGGACATGCGCGACACACTCTTACTCGAAATGAGTCCGAATATTGGCGTTTATGATCCTATGATGCTGGTTTTTGCCAGCTCATTTAGCACTCCATACTCCAGCAGAACACTGAACTGAGGAAACAGCTCTGACTCCGACTGAAGTTGTCAAGGCCGATTGAACAGAGGACTCAAATGCAGAGGATGAGAGAACAACATTTATTAAATGTGAGGCAGAGACCCCCCCTGAAGTATACGGTGCCAAAAATCAAACAAAGGACGTGTAAGGGAGCTCCAGAGCTGCCCAGACGAGCTCAGTGGACAGCTCTGCCTGAAGAGATCCCCAGACACCGTGTCCACGCAGGACAAGGAACGAGACGAGATCCGAGAGAGACAGCGAAGACAACAGAACGCTGTCACTCCTCATCGAAGCGTCCTGGACACAATCAAACAGAGCTAAGTCACAAAAAAACAGAACACGGCATAAAGCAGAACACAAAAAAAACAAGGCACAGGAAGATCTACTGACAACAAGAGGCAGAAACAGCAGAGATTATAAGTGTAACATGAACAAGCTACAGGTGAGGGTGATCAGCTCGTGATCTGTGCACCTGTGCGCAAGATCAGCACTAATTGCCCACCAGCAATAGCAATAGGTCACGAGCTGCACAAAGAAGACAGCCGATGGTGCACCCTGAACCGTGACAGAAGTTAAAGTTTTAATGGTTTCTCATTGTTTATGTAAAAGGGTAAGTTGATTAAGACTTGTTTATTCATTTTATATACCTTAGACATGTAAAACATCCTTGTTTTACATCATTATTGGGTGTGTTAATAATATAATTGCATATACGTTATGTCATTGCGTGATTACATAAACTGGTGAATCAATTTTTTGAACCAGTTTATTGAAATGGACTGTCTGAAGGACTTCCCGTATTGCCTGAGGCTATGGATTGCAGGTAATATGTCGTAAATAATGGCATTTGCGTTTTATGAATCACCAAAGAACAAGGTTTTAGCTAAAAACGTCTTTACTGTTCTACTGAGGAAAAAAGTCCCCTACATCTTGGATGACCCGAGAGTGAGAAAATTAACTGCAAATATTTTATTTTTGGGTGAACGATACCTTTTAAGGATGAAATGTTAACCATAAACTTACTATAAAGTTTTAATAATTGTTCCTATTTTATTTATATTTTATCAATATAATATCTTCTATTTTATTTTATTAATTGTTGTTCTAATTTTATTTTAACTACTATGAATTTTATGAATCACCAAAGAACAAGGTTTTAGCTAAAAACGTCTTTACTGTTCTACTGAGGAAAAAAGTCCCCTACATCTTGGATGACCCGAGAGTGAGAAAATTAACTGCAAATATTTTATTTTTGGGTGAACGATACCTTTAAGGATGAAATGTTAACCATAAACTTACTATAAAGTTTTAATAATTGTTCCTATTTTATTTATATTTTATCAATATAATATCTTCTATTTTATTTTATTAATTGTTGTTCTAATTTTATTTTAACTACTATGATGCAGATTAACAAAACATGAAGGGTACTGGTGCAATCAAATTTCAGAATATTTTTTTTCCATCACATGAAACCTGTAGCGCACCCTTATGATAAACAGACTGTTATCATCCATTGGTGTAGACCAGGGGTGGGCAAACTTGGCCCTTCCAGGTCACTTTCCTTCAGAGTTTAGCTCCAACTCAAATCAAAAACCTGAACCAGCTAATCATTGTCTTCAAGACTACTAGGAAGCTACAGGCAGGTGAGTTTTATCAGGGTTGGATCAAATCTCTGCAGGAATGTGGCCTGGAAGGGCCAAGTTTGCCCATCACTGGTGTAGATGCTAACATAGTTCGTCATCTTCATAATTATCGGATAAAACTGAAGTACACTGGGGGGGAATTCACTTTTAATAAAACTTGGCTGTCTAGGCAGTAAAAACACTGGAAATGTCCTCTGGGTGCCACAAAATGACGCATTTTGCATTATCTGGCAATATCTGGGTGCAGGTAACACGGAGAAAGAGTACACATTGTTCATTTACATATACTACTAACAATGTAACAATACAAAGCTGGTTAGAAATCTGCAAACTTATCTTTTAAGTTCCAGGTTGCGTTTTCATATCAGTCTTGGAAATGCAAATAATGACAAAAGTCTCTCGTTTTTGAATGAGCTGTTCTATTATTATTGTTATGGAACTAGAGGAATAGCTGAATGTTGAAGGATGTATTTCTGCTACTTTTTGCTGTTGTATGGGAGAGAGCAGTGGGGGGACTTTCTTTAGACTTTCTAATTTTGTCTTTCTCAGAAGGGCTTGGAATGACAAATTGCAAAAGCAGATGCTTTACGAGTACCCAATTTTTGAAGACCTTGTAACCGGGAGAAATACTTTTGTTCCCTTCTCTGCTGGAAGGAGTTCTAATATAGAGTGATCAGTCTCACAGCATTTGCGGCTCAGGTGATGGGCTCAAAAAATTGTCCCCAGAATGGACAATGTCTCTGAGAAGCAATGAATCAAAGATAACAGCATCCAAGTCGTGACCTCCTTGAACCAAGCTTTCTCTCTCTTTATCTCATCATGTCATTTCACACACCGAAACCTCTCTCAAGATCTCCACAGAATGGTAGTTGCTATTCAAATTTCATCAAATCAGTATTGCTAAAGAATCGCCATTATTACATGGCTTGAATATGATGTGCAAGATGAAACTATAGGTTTCAGAATTTGCTATGCATTCAGCTGTAAACTTGTTTGTACATTTGCACTTGCTTAAAATATAAAATCAATGCAGATGTTGCTAAATAACTTGGAAAGCCATCAATTAAAGCCTGGCTTGTTCTCAGTTGATAAACCGACTGAG